ATGCTTTTAATAATATCTAGGTTTAGGTCTTTTGGTAACTAACTTCCTAACTTTAAATGATATGTTTGAGCAAGAATTTCTTGACTATTACTTTAGACAATCTTTAATATCTCCATTACAAAAGATAAGGATTTGTATTCATCCCCTCTTTTCCCTTGCCCACCTTCTCCAAATGTTTGATAGATATGTTATTTTAAAATACTTTCATTGGTTTAATTTATAGTTCTGAACAACACACCAGTCCTATTGTTCTTGCTGCATTAACTTAAGACCTTATCTTTTCATCCCCACCTTAAATATATAAGTAGCCTTACTCTTCCTTCTACCTCTCTTCCCACAAATAGTTCTCAACCGCTTTCTGCTTTCTTTTTCTTTGTTAATATTAATTACTTTCAACTTCAGTTCTCAATAAAATTAAAGCTCTTATGCTTTGTCAATAGGCTGATCAGAACACTGAATATCAATAAATGGCACTTAAATTATTTTTATTTTGTAAATACTGTTTATAAAAAACAAGTAGAAGCTAGGATATTTTCCTTCCTACACAATCAATGTTATGATGTCCATGTCACTGGGAAGGAAATGTACCTACCATCAATGTCAAATCAAGCCTCTTCTTACACTCCATGAATCACTCAAGATTGTACTCCTATTTCATAATGCATCATATTGGACCTGGGTTTTCTGATATATTTTTGATTTGTATTTCTTTTTTGTTGACTAAAGATTGGGTGCCTTCCTTAAGTCTCAAACATTTTAACTTCTCAGTGATGCTATCTATGGCATAGAGTACACATTCTTTGCAGAAAGCCCAAGACTGTGTGCTATCATCTGTACTCTGGAGTGAGGCATTTGGGTGAGGTCCATTGTTAGCTGGAACCCATTTCTTCCTCTTTCTGGTTTATATTCTCATTTTCTGGGAGAACTTCCCCCCATCACTTTCCCTTAAGGGTGCAAAGAAGTAGACTTAAAACTTGCCTATAGAAAATCTCTTTAGTTTGATGTCTCTCCTGACAGTTTGCTTTGCTATGAATTCTGGGTATAAAAATTTTTCCATAAGTTATGTGAAGATATTGCTCCATTGACTTCTAGCATTCTATGACAAAAAAAAAAAATAAATAAATAAAAAAAAAAATAAAAAAAGTCCTCAGTCGATTTCTCATCCCTTTTTAGTTGAGCTAATTATAGATAACCTTTTTTTTTTTCTCCCTGGGCAATTTTACTATCTTTCCTCTATCTTTAATTGCCAAAATTGTACAAGATTGTGTCTAGATGTAGATTGTACTGGGCCCCTCAATCTTCAGATTTAGTTCTATTTTTTAAATTGTTTTCCTTTTTATTTCTTCACCACTATTTCCTATGTTCTTTTCTTCAGTTAAATACTGATTGTCTGTGTGTCTTTCCTTCATATTTTCAATTTCTTCTTGCTCCATAACTGGAGAAATTTCCTCAAATTTATTGTTCAGCCTGTCTACTAAATATTTTTGGTAGTCTTATTTCACTTTCAAAAGACTTTTATTTTCAGTTTTCCCAACCTTTGTGATATTCTGTCTTACAATTACACCTCAAATCTCTCTGGAGAAATTATTAGAATTTTAATTTATTTTTCCCCATCAACTTTGTCTCCTCCTCCTGAGTTTGATGTATTTTACAAGCTCCCTAATTCTACCTGGTTATTTTTCTCATGAATTTCCCTTGCTCTTTCCCCTTTCCCACACCATGTCTGGAAATTCCTAGCTAACCTTCCACATTTAAAAATCAACATCACTGTTAACTTTTAATAGGAAATATGTAGGTTTTTTCTGCTGTTGCATGGACAGATCTGTGTTTCCAGTGAGCCTTTTCTACCTTTGGAAGTACTAAGAACTTGAGTAGAGGTCTCAATTGTCAGTAGGAACTAGCTACCTGATAGGCTAGGTGAGCACTTTTTCTTTCTTTCTCTCTTTCTTTCTTTCTCTTTCTTTCTTTCTTTCTTTCTTTCTTTCTTTCTTTCTTTCTTTCTTTCTTTCTTTCTTTCTTTCTTTCTTTCTTTCTTTCTTTTCTCTTTCTTTTCTTTAGGTTTCATAAGGATACATGTGCTCACTAAGAGATACAAAGAGAGATGGAGAGAAGGAAAGTAAGAAATCATCCCCCCATCCATGCCCTAGGAAGGATGGCCATGACACAGTCTCTTCTCCCTGATACTCCTCTTGGGATTTGGGGCACACATAAACACACACCCAACATGATTTTCAACCTGCTGGGTCCAGGAGGTTGACTCAAACTATAGTCAGCCATTTGTGAGTCCAACACCTTAACCACTATACCACCTGTTGATCCCAGGAAGCACTTGTTTCTACAAAAAGAGAAATTGTATTCTGGAGCACCAACTCTTACCTCTCCTCAATCAGTTTATTCAATTTCTTTATACAAACAACAACAACAACAAGGACAATAATTTTTGGACTGGTGCCAATAATAGGCTGCCTGTGGCTTGTGCACAGGGTGGGAATAGAATAAGATGGGGTTCAATTTTACAACTGGTATATTTTAGTAAATAGACTTTCAGATGCCCAAGTGTCTTTGGGGTTATGTTGTTCAGATCAGCTTATATTCCGTCTGAAAGGTACCTTCTCTCTTTCCTTCATGATGCTTCATCCACTTTCTCTCTTCCAGAAATGTGTTGAGGTCTTCCACTTATAACCAAATACCTTCGGTTTTCTTTGCAGATTCCCTTTTGAATTTCTTCACTTCAATTTCAGTGGGGCCTGGGGAGGGAGGGGAGGTAAACTTATATGTTCAGTTCATCATCTTACATTGGAAGTCCCACTGGAGACAGGGGAGTAACATGGATAACTTTCTATTTTTCAAAAGATCCCCAGGCTGCACTGCTAAAAATGAACTAAAGAAGGCAAGAATGGATACAAATATTATTATGAAGGATTAAGGATCTAGTTTGTTCTCTGAGAACATGCAATGTCTGGAACTTTAGGGAGATAGTCACTTTACCAAAATAGCCCACCATCAAAATCCAGTAAGTTAGAGAATACTTTCATAGTGCCCTAGACAGAATGACTAAAATTTGACTATCCTAGAACCTAAAAGACTGAGATGATGCTAACGGGCTTACCCAGCATTCTCTACTGGAAAGTACATCAGACAGGAGCTTACCTTACATTCTTCCTTTGAAATGAACATTTTTTTTTTTTTGGAGAATTTTTTTTTTTTTTTGCCATAGGGCATGTGTGCTCGCCAGAAAGACAGAGACAGAGAGATAGAAAGCGAGAAATCACCCCCCAGAGGGGATGGCCACACCGCAATCCCTTCTCTTCTATTCTACTATCAGGATCTTGGGCACGCATGCACACGCACCCAGCGTGAGTTTAAGTCACCAGGTCTGGGACTTGAACCGTGGTCGACTACATGGGAGTCCAGCGACATAACCATTACACTAATTGCTGGTCCCTGGAACGAACTTTGAGATAAAAAATGGGACTTTTTGTTCAGATAATATCAGATGAAGAGAAGTATGAGTAGCCAAAGCTCTGGCACACAGGGACATAAAGGTCTTTCTGTTTGCTGACGGGGGTCTTTATTTACTCATTTATTTGATAATTCAAAGAGCTGTAGTTATGAACAGTCATTCTGTAGTCATAATGCCTGGGTTCAAACCCAAGATCAACCACTTATTAGCAATATAGTCTTTTATTACTTAACCTTCATAAAAGTCAGTTCTTTCATTCACAAAATGGGAATGATAATAGTTTCCATCTCATACTATCATTGTGAAGATTAAGTGAAACTTGTATAAAGGACCGAGTGCAATGTTTGGCACACACTTGACACCCCACACTTGATGGCAGTTATTTTAAATGCTGATTATTCAACATCTACGTGGAAAGCACCTAGATGATGGATATTCATAAAACAATGAGAAATAATTCTAGAACTGAGAAGTTACATGATGAAGAAATCCAAAGGAAACATTATATCAGTCAAATTTTGTTGTCTACGCAGCCACCCAATTTCCAATTAAGCAAATAAAATGGTAAATTAAAATAACTAAATAAAAAGAAGTAAACAAAAGGAATGTACACTGTATCAATCGTAGAGACTGAATTTTAGTTAAAACTATAAAGAAATGGGACGTTCTGAATAAAATTAGAAAGAAAAACAACTTAAGAAAAATCTTTGAATTATCATTATTATTATTTTAGCCAAAGGGTATGTCCCCTTGTCAGAGAAAGAGAGAGAGAGAGGGAGAAAAAAGGAGAAAGCAGCCCTCCCATTAGGTCAGGGTCACGCCATAACTCCTTAATTTCTTCACACTGCCAGGATTTGGGGCATGCACATACATATGCCCAGCATGTTTCAAATTGCTGGGGCCAGGACTTGAATTGGGCAGTTGGCCATGAAGAATGCGGTTCTCTTAACCACTAGGCCATTGGTGGTCTTGAATACGTGGTAATGAAATAAAGTTTGGGTTAGCCCTATTTGGTTATCGTGTCCTAAAGTACAACTTTTTACATATGTGTGAACTTTGTCTGCCAAACTGAGGAGTAACTCTTGGTTGTGACTGTGTCTTGAATTAGTGTCACTATGGAAATACAAGCACCATCCCCAAGCTCGTGCTTACTATTTGCTAAGGAATTGCCCTAGGTGTGTTCCAAGACTCCTACTTTGGTTTAATCAAAGAAGAAATTTAACATGAAAGATAGAATTAGGTAGAGACTAAACCCCAAGTAGCTTTTACAAACTGCACTGTGAATTCAGAGTCCCTTAAAAAATTAATTAAATATCATACCAAAATCCTTTCAAAGGCTAGTATATAAAAAGTAGAATGGGGTGGGATTAATTATGATTGCATCTGCAAATACCATCTAAAAATGATACCTAGCTTTAAAGTGACATTGAGTTAATTAGATGATTGTAACAAAACTGACATTTTTTCAATGCGTACCAACTGCCAGGTACTATTCTGATCACTTTTAGAGGTACGGAAAAATGTAATCTTCACAATAATCCTACAAGATAGATCCCGTTTTGTGGATGAGGAAACCAAATTTTGTAGATATCACCAGGGTCATACAACTAATAAGTGAAAGAACCAGAATCTGGGTACAGGGGGGTCTACAGGTAGAGGTGGCAAGCTTAATATCTGAACTAAGGGAAGAGAATGTGGAGGATAGTTCATTATGCTGCAGAGAGCCTGGGTATAATCCATGGAATAAATAAATCAATAAAGATGGAATAATCCCTAGATGGCATGCACAAACCTCTGGAATTCTCAGTCCAAGTCTTCCTGACAACCCTGTGAGGCAGGGACTTTTAACCCCCATTTCACAAATCAGGAAATGGTGGTACAGAGGTAAAATGACTCTCCTAAGAGCTAACCCTAGTCCTGGGCTCTGCCCACTTTACCAGACTGCTTTTAGGGTGCTTTGAAATACTATTCAAAGCACAAAATACAGGAGTATTCAGGGAGCTATCAGGTTATCATTGGTAAATCTGTGTTCCAGTTGAGTTCTACGGTCAGATTTTTAGAATAACTGATCAAAAATAGAAGCCCAGAGAGTATCCTTAAGCTGTCAGGATGAGAATTATTCTCTGGCCTATGGTCCATAATATACCAGGGCTGAAAACAGGTGCCACAGCTCTCAGTGCTGGGCCAAAATGGGGTCAGGGGGGAATCTGAGAGCTGAGAGCAGAGAAGTAAGACTCATAAACAGAATGCCTTGCTCCTGAGAAATTCTGATTCCAGTCTTCACCTACCTCCTAGAGACAGAAGTTGGTAACAAGATACCATAAGCTAAGAGGACAAGGCCAGAGTCCCAGGAAACCAAGGCAGAGGAGTGGATGCCCATCTCTGCCTACCTCCCCAAACCTTTCTACCTGCCACCTTGATGGGCACTCCTTACATCTGTGTGAGAAGGTATAATTTCATAATATTTTCCTTCCATTCAGGCAGATAGGCCAGGCTGGTAGCCACTTCCTTCTGGATAGGCCAGGCCCAGGCCTCAAAGAATGGAGCCAGATTCTTCTGCACTTGGTGGGAGAACATCTTGACCCACAGATTCATTTTGTCGACGTTATCTGTGGGCAAGTTGGTCTGGTTCCTATACTCAGTGAAGAGACGGATGAATGGCTCCCAACCAAAGGCCTCCTGTAGCTAGAAAGAGAAAGAAAAAAAATGGGTTGAGACATCTAATCTACACAAAGATGCCCCATCGAACACTATAATAAACGAATGTAGTGTATTTTATCCCTTAAGCATTGGATTCTTTTCTACCACTGACCTCTCTCCTTTGTTTTGTCTACTGGCTTCATGCCCCACTCTCCTCCATCCTAATCTTAAGGAGGGCCTTGGGTTCCGGCCATGGTGGTGCAGTGGTGACACTAGTGTCCTTGCTGTGCTGACAGCCATGTGGAGACAGTAGTTCAGACCTTGGCTCGGCCTGAAAACACACTCAGTGACTGTGAGGGGGACCGGCATTCTGAGGAGCTGGCAGGCAAGGAAAAGGGACCATGGCGTGATGAGACCCTGGTGAGAGTGCTCTCCTTCTCTCTCTCATGTGTATGCACATACTCTTCATCATAAAAATAAAGGGAAAAGGAAAAAAAAGGACCTTGGAGCTAGCACAGGGCTTTGCTAGGCAATCAATGAGGGCTGTAGTAATAACTGTAATGACCACGATTAATATCAATGTTACCAGTATTATTTATGGGTCTCATTCGGTTATGAAAGTGCTGGGATATTACATAAGGACATACCATTGGCTCAAGGGGGAAGAGCCTCATGTCTTCCACAGTTGTGAAGTTAAACCCTAGACAACTGGGACAGTCCCACCCTTATCTTGATATAACCGAATCTTCATTAATCAGGTCTTTGTCAATTTGGAAGGCTACCTCAATGGCCTTTGGGGGAAAAAAGTGAATCAGAGGGAAGGAGCAGGCTGCAGTCTCTGTAACTGGAATAGAGAGTAAGTCATAATTTTAGAAAAAGTCAGCTGTCCTGAAGCAATAGTCGACAGCCTGTGCTAGCCAGGGTTACTGAGCTCTGGAGCTAAGAGCCCCCAGACAGGTTCCCAGGTCAACCTCAACTTTATTTCACTGACAAGGAACCTTGTCCTGAGGCAGAGCAGCCCCAATGGCAAGGTTATTAAAATAGAGGGCTCCTGGATGTTTCACATCCCTCTCTTGGCAGTGGGAATGAGCAGGGAGGAACTCGAGCAGGTGGAAGAACCAGAATAGAGTATGTCTGGCCTGAGACTGAGTTCCGGAATCTGAGGGGAGGATCTGAGTGAGCTCGGAACTGATTCAGACACTGGGGGGGCAGGGAATGGGTGTCAAGGAAGAGTGCAGGGGTGAAGGCAAGCTTCATGTTCAGGCAGGGGAGGAATTGTACATAGGCTGCATAACGTGGAGCCAGAGGCCCAGCCAGTTGTAATGAGAAGACAGCACCTGAGAATAGAATAGGGCATGTCCCATGTATTGTGTGTGTGTTTGTGGGGGGGGGGGGTGTGTGCATGCTGTTGGGTGTAGATAGCTATGATGTAGGAGTTGGATTTATAGTACTATCTTTTTCTGCTCCCATTTCTAATTTTTTTTTTGTTTTCTTCAGATTTTTGCCATAGGGCGAATGCATTTAACAGAGAGAGAAAAAGAGAGAAAGTGAGAAATCACTCCCCAGGGTAGATGGCTATGTCACAATTCCTTCTTCTCCATTCTCCTCTAAGAATTTTGGCCATGCTTGCACACGTGCCTAGAGTATTTTTCAAGTCACCAGATTCAGGACTCAAACCAAAGTCAGCCATGTGGGATCCAGTGCCTTAAGCACCACGCCACCTGCTGGTCCACGTTTCTAATCATCATCAATGTTTTCTATCTACTCTCATGTATCTTTATGGGATAGAGGGTAAGGCTGATGCTATTAATTGCACTTTACAGTCATGCAAAGTGGTGTGCTGAGAGGCATCATCACATAGGGCGGTTACACTTAAACTTTGTCAGGGTCTCCCATGGCCGAATGTGGGACCCCGATACAGAAAGAAGTCTCCTGGGTCACTGGTATACCATCTAACAATCCTGCTCTGGTGACTCCCACAGTAAGGGGCCCCCATCACCCTCCATTCTTGCCCAGTACCTGTAAGTATGTTTCCAGTGCGGTCCAAGCATTCCAGTTTTTCACATTAGGACCCTTGCTCAGGTAGATTCTAACTCTCTTCTCCCGAACTGGGGGCCACAGAGCAATATTGGCACGGCCTCGAGGAATGCCCAAGACCGTTTCGTGCACATAAACACACCAGAGGTTGCAGGTGGCCTCAGTGGTGTGTGGTGGGAACTCCCACTCCTGTCTCTGCTGGTTGCGGCCCAGCTCATGGACAGGGCCCCACAGGCCCTTGGTTCTGATGAGCTTCTCATTGATGAGCTCCTGCACTGACTCCAGATGGCACATGATAGGATACCCTGCGTGCATCCAGCCTGTAAAGTTTAAGAGGGAGGAGGATTGCATTAGCGTCTTCCCCAGCCATCTCATGGAATTCTCTGTACTGTTTCTCTTCCAAAAGAATCCAGTAGCCCCAGGCAACTCATACTACTCAGAAGAACGATCCACACCAACAGCCTCTAAGGCTTTCCCTCTAATCCTTTCCTGTAGTAATACACCTCCCTTCACTCTGACCTGAAATAGAGCAGCTATGGGAGGGAATGGATAGCCATCAGTGTTATCATGCAACTTTTCTGCTTCTATAAGGGTGCCTTATCCATGCGAGCCTAGGTCATGGTATGCTTTTTCCAGAATGCTGAACCCTTTAAGGTAGCTCTGCCTCTCATTGCTTAGACACTGACTTGCCCACATGGGAAGCACCTTCCAGTGATCATCTATCTAACTTAGGAAAATGAGGGTCTAGAGAAATCTTAATGGTTCTGTAACATCTTCATGCTCCCTCAATATTTGGGATCCAGGACCCAAAGGTGAAGATCTCTTTGCTCAATATCTTTTCAAAGTTGTAAAATTCCCCCTCCCAACAACTCTGACCTATGTCGAGTGTGTCTGCCATTTATAACCACTGTTAGAAACCCATTGATGGACTCTTGTACAATCTCCACTGACATCTCTTGATGTCTTTGATGGCCTATTTTGACTGCCAGCTTAAATTGTTATTTATTTCTTACATATGTTTTTTCCTCCTTTCATTCAAACAGGAAGAATCACACTCCGGTGTCGATTTAATTTTCTGTGTTTGTTTTTGCTACAGGGCATGCATGCTTACTGGAGAGACACAGAGAGAGCGAAAGTGAGAGATCATCCCACAGGAGGGATGCTGCAATCCCTTCTTCTCCATTTTCCTCTAGGAATTTTGGGCAAGCATGCACACATGCCCAGTGTGTCTTTCAAGCCACCAGGTCCACGACTTGAATCATGTAGTTGGCCTTGTGGGATCCAGCTGCCTCAACTTCCACTCCAACTACTGGCCCACAGTCCTGTGTCTGACTAGCAAAATATTCTTGCTCTCCTGGCTGCTCATCACATGGCAGCTGAAAGAAAGACACACTGTCGGATGCCAGCATGCTCCAAGGGCTCGCCCCGGGCACCCACCGACGGAGATCTGCACGTCTGCAACAATCCTCTGGGGCAGGCGCAGCGGGAAGGGCTCAGCTCCCAGGCGTGCCACGGCCTGCATCACCTCATCCCAGAGGCGGAGCAGTGGCTCAGGGTTCTCCAAAGTACGAAGGTTTGCAGTTGGCACTGTCAGGATGATGTTGTCTGTAGCCAGCTCTCCCCAAGGACCTGGGTTCTCCTGGATACGCCTCTTCCACTCCTCCTGGGATGTCTCCCCTAGGAATAGGGGTCATGGAACTAGAAACTCACTTCTCCAAATCCCTTAAGTTAAAACATACAACTTGAGCCCCAGGGGGAGAATATAGAGATCATGGACAACCACACCTCTCCTCTCTATCCATCTGTGAAATCCCCATGGATGAGCTTGGTCTTTGTCAACTCAGTCCAAAGCTGAATCTAAGGATCTTACCCTTATCCCCCCCTGCTGGTCTGTGTCTTCCTCCTCTTACACAAAACTGCCCCATCCTCTTCTCATCCCCAGCACTTCCCCTCTCCTGGGGTTCCTTTAAGGCTCCTACTCACCCAGCTTGTAGTACGGGGCATGCACAGCCCCCTTCACAGTGATGGGCACCGAGCCCAGTTTGCTGCTCTGAGGCACAATGATGTACAGAAGGCCACCCCAGAGGCAGGTGATGGACTTCGTGGGCTTGTCCAAGCAGCACCGGTTAATCACGAGTGGGCCTCGGAACAGCTTGCTGGCTCTCGTCAGGTCGTCCGTGTGGCAGCCGATCTGGATCTGGAGCAGAGAGATCCCGCACAGAGTCACCAGGAGGTGGGTGTGGGAGGATATGACAGCCCATGGGATGAGGACTCGGGAAGGGTCATCAGGCCATGACCCTACGCAAGTTCCACCTTCTCATCCATGGAACTGTAGCACTCCTCGAGGTTGTATGGACCGAATGGTGTGTAAATATTCTAGGAGATTCACACAGCACCACAGTGAGTCATGCTGAGAAATGAATGTGAGGAACGCCAGGTGTAACCCACGTGACAGGTTCTGGGGAGGGCTGACTCGCTCGGCACTTCTACAACAGCAGCCTTGGTCGCCTATTCCACAATGATCTTGACATTGGGAATGGGGCACAGGGGATCCAGCCTTTTATGGATTAGAGAGGTGGCTTGTGGCAAGAGTGTGTGATTCAGCTGATATAGTGGAGGGTTGATTCAGTCCCTCCCCCTTCTCTGAGGACCCCGCTTCCTGGGGAGGTAAAAGAACCTCCGTATTTGGAGTCTCGTTTTCTCTGGGTTTATGCTAAACTAGTTTCAGGATACATATAGTTACAGAAGAGACCCTAAGGATCTCAGTGACCTTCAAGTGTGTCAGAGCAGGACATCAAATTTATTTTGTAGGATGTGTGTATATGGCAGTGGCAGAGAAGAAGGTGGACAGGGCAGTCAAGGAGTCTTTGGGGACAGAGGAAAGAAGCAACCTTGTGCTACAACAGAAAATGTACATGGGGATGGAAAGTGGATTGAGACTTCTTGAACACGATTGTATGCTGGGCTACCTTTCATTTCGTCTCTCTTTTATTCCCTACTGTATGACGTAAGTCAAAAGTGCCATACATGGGCCAGCCCCATAGCCTACTGGTTAAGAGCACTGGATCCCACATGGCCAGCCAGGGTTCGAGTCCTGGCACTGGATGCGTGAAAACACACGGGGCAAGTTTGTGTGTGTGCCAAATCCCAAGAGGATGAAAAAATGGAGAAGGATTGCAGCATGACCATGCCTCATTGTGGGGTGTTTACTCTCTCTGTCTTTCTGGTGAACACACACATTCTCTGGCAATTAACGACGACAAAACCCATACAACTAAACAGCCAGAGGTTGGTTAGGTTTGGGTGCTGAGCTCTGAAATCTATCTGCTCTATACATTTAAATCAATCAATTAGATTTTCTTCACCTTAGTTGCTTCATCTTTAAAATAAGAGTAAAAATATCTGCCTTGTATTGCCCACAGGGTTTTATGAGGACAAAATCAGATATCAACTATGAAAGCAAGAGCATTTGGGTTCCACATGACACGGTGAGAAGGGATATGGCCTTACCTTCAGGTCAGCAGAGGCAGCAGCTTCCGGCAGTGACACTTCTATAATCTGCCTTCCAGGTATGTAGAGCCCGGTACTCATCCAGCAATACCTGGTGCCTGCCGACATAGGAAGGGCAGGTTTTATCCACCATGACTCTATCCCGTCCAGCACTGCCACAGACCCTTGCTGAGCCCTGTACATCTCTTCCCATTCCATGCTGCCCTGACTCAACTCTTCAAACAGTACCTAAAATCCCAAGCCCTGTCTTCTTGGAAGTGTATGACAAAGGATGGAAACGGTCCCCCAGAGACAACCAGATCCCTGAAACCAATTGCAGCAATCATTGCACCCCTATTCCACCAATTCCCACAATTCTGAGCTCCAGCCTCATTCTGTACCTGGATTGGTGCAGTTGACCTCGACGGTGATAGGAGACTCTGAGGGACGCAGGTAGGGGCTGCTGTATATATCTTCAATTTCTGGGACTAACAGAGAAAGGTCACTTCCCGAGTGGGCCAGGCCCGTGGCCAGGGAAAGCATAGCACCCCTGCAGCAGTCATTAATAACAGGGTTCTCCCGGGTGGCTACTGGGAGCCGATATCGACTCAGCAGCTTCCTCAGGAGGCGGTGCACAGACATGTAGGCAGGGATCTCTTCTGCGGGGATCTGCAGGAACGCTGCGCCGTCAGGTCCCAGCTTTGCCAACCAGCCCTTTTCCACGTTGCCTCTCTTCCTGCCCATTATAACCTGGAACTCAGCCAGGGTGGATCGGAAGTGATAGGTCCTTATCCCTGCTTTAGGAGTGCGAAAGGGCCCTGGATTAAGGCTTTGGCTTGTGATGCTGATGCCAAAGGGGTTGAGGAGGAGGTTTCCTGGGAATCTAGCCAAGGGGGACACTCCTGGGTTCTTGAAGGCCCACCACCAGGCTTGGGCTCCAACAAATAGCCCACCACCCTCTGCTACAAACTCCTGCAGCTCTTTGACCCCCACTTCACTAACAGGCTCAAAGCAATAGACACTGGCATCACTGGTAAGGTGGGGCTCCACGCTGGTGTCTATGCCCCCCACTGCAAGCAGGCCACTCAGCGTCCTCAGCTCTGTCTGCACCACGATCTTGCCTCTGCGGCCCCCATCCAGCCAGCGGACAGCATTGAGCAGGAAGGGGCCCAGTTTGCCAACGCTGAATAATACCTTGTGGCCAGTCACAACCACTCGGCCCCGGCCATAGCGGGCGGCCGCTATAACACAGCCATGGTAGGTGTCTAACCCCAGAGGAAAGGCTAACGCCCCGTGCACTAGCAGCTGAGATGGGAAACAATCCGAGTTGCTGATGTCCAGCTCTGAGATCCCATGCAGGAGCTCCTCTCTGTCCTCGGAGAGGTCATCTTCACAACTGGAAAAGGCACAAGTGTTCTGTGTTAGAGGAATGGCTCTATAGAAAGCTCTTAGAACAGTGCCTGGCATACGGCAAGCACTATAGATATACTAGATTTAATCATATATATATTATATCATATGATTATATGATATACATATGTGTGTGTGTGTGTGTGTGTGTGTGTGTATTTCCTCATATTTTATTGATTCACAAAATTTCTTAAATAATCTAACTACTTTCCACAGCAAGTTCAGCTAGTTTATACATATCTATGAATACATGTCTGACTTTAGGTGTGAAACTCTGAGTAGAAAGAATATACTATAAGGTAGCACCTAACTGATGCTATATAGCTTACTATGCCATTAAATAGGTATTTTAAAAATATATTTATTAATTTCAAGAAAAGCAGTTTTAGCTTTAATAAATTAAAGAAATGCTAAGGAAGTTTGCTTAAAACTTAAAGCCAGGAAACAGGTTAGGATTCTGTTCAAACAGTAGGTACATGAACCTATCAGCAGGTCAAGACAGGACGAGAATCCCTAGAACTGGAAAACAAAGCCTAGAAGAAAATCAGCAGTCTTGAGGTCTGAACCCAAGAGGACTTGGCTGTCCACCACTAGAACTCCACTCATTTGTTCCCGGCCAACAGGAGCAACACATATCCATGTCATAAGGCTCTGCTCAGTGCCATCTGTCACCACTTGAGAATAACCCACTCCTAGAAGACCTGAACATCCCACAGGTCCCAAACAGACGGAGCCCTGGATCCCTAGTGGGATAACTGAGTATAAGCGAGTAGTGTGGCCCTTAGAAGCTTGAAATTCCAGAGCTGGTTCTGCCACTTTTGCTTGGTAAAGTTGTGACAATTGTATGGTCAGAAGACAGCAGAAGGAATCAACAAAAACATGAGTCAGGTAGACAACTGATTCACAGTATTTGTGCTGTTCTTTCTGTAACTGGCAGAGCTTGAACTACCTGATAGGAAAAGCGTGGTCCTCTTAGCAAGTACACTTTTTTCTTGAAGATAAAGGCAACTCTCCAGCTCCTTGATGCATTAGCCATTAATCAGGTAGCTCCTCTTGCTCTGATTCTAGGTTTACCAAGCAACCTTAGGATTATATTCTTGTTACCTATGCCCATTTGCCTAAAGATAGGAAGGATGTGTTGAAAAGGATATTCTAATTTTGTGATATTTATTTTTCTCAAGCATCAGCTTAGTTTATCTTTAATGTGATGATTGTAAAATTTTTTTAAAAAAAGCACTTACTTTTTATTTTAGTACTTTACACTTGTATACAAAATGAAATGAAAAATGTGTCTGAATTCTTATAATAAGGAATTTTGTTTATAAATTGGATGCAATTATTATTATTATTATTTTTACAAATGAGTCTATGAAGTGGTACGTTACTGTGTTTTAAATTAATTTATTGCATCAGGATTTCTACAGTAGCTTATTGTGGTAAAGTGAGAGATACTGAACCTGCAAAGGTAAGATTTAGACACTGAGTCCAGAACTTCCAGACGGTGACATTATATGAGGTCTTGCTTGATGCTGAGCTAGAGGACTTCCTCAAATATATGTCTGTTATTTCCAACAGCCCTGACTTATACATAGAAGGAGTGAAATAATTCTCATAAATTGAAAACATATTAGAGTTTACTTTATTCTCAACCTTTTCTGAAATGAAACAAACGTTGTTAAAATATAAATAAAGCTATAATAGCAATCTATGTTGAGATAGACGTAACCAGCAAACTGGAATAGTGAGGTATTTATAGAAAATATAGATAAAATGGAATTGGATTGATCAAAAGTCCATGCAAGCAGAAAAATATGTTAACTGCATGTACGTAAAAAAGCAGATTAAAACCAAAGGACCAAGACTTTTTCCTGAAAAAATACTCAGTAACCAATAATTATCGATCAAAAATGTCAATTCAATTTAAAATTTAGATAAACAAGTAAACAAATATTGGTGAAAACTAACAGCATAAAAGAGTGCTCAAAACCAAGCACAGAGAAACCAACCTTCAAAGAAAAAGCAGTGATAAATGGAGAAGAAATTTCTAAATAAGCATTATATATCATTGGAGAGTTATGAGAAAATATCTCTGTAAGAAAAGAAAGAAGGAAAAAGAAAAAAAAGAAAAGAAAAAATAGAACAAGATGCTGAAAGGTACTGATTAGGATAAAGACACAACTTCCAAGCCGATAATCTGAATTTTAATATGTAGGAAGAAAATAAGTCTTGATCTAGCTGAAGATTGTAAATAAGTCAACTGGAAACTTGAGAAGAGATTCTTCCACGAGCAATGCTAAAGATATTTTTTTAGAAGGAAGAACATTATATATATAAAAAAGTAAAGAAATGAAAGACAAATTAGAAGGGCTAACATCTAGCAAGCAGAAGTTGCAATCAGAACGAACAGAGAAAAACAAAAGAATCAAACAAAATGAGTGACCCATTTCCTTAGGTTGAAAACAGTTTTAAATGTTCAGAACAAAATGACTAACTACAAATTTGGCTTAAAGAAATAAAGTGGAGTGTCTAGTCTATTACTGGCAAACTTATGAAAAGAAGAGAAAAAGAAAATCATTTTAAAGGCTCCCAGAAAGAAAATAAAAACTACCCTACCTACAAAGAAATAGGTACTTTCACTGCAGCATAAGACTTCATTCAGCATATGAGAAAACCAAAGATAATGTGAAAACAGCTTATGAAATTGACCACACATAAAACTTTTCCAAAAAGTCAACTCAAGTTGTGCTGTAGGCCTAGAAAAATGAAAATGAATTCAACAGAAAAAAAAAAATAGCAACAAAAAGCTGTAGTGGCAAAGGTATGAATATAATATATAACTAATACTGGAAGGTTCTGATAAAAGAGCCAATGGCACATGACACAATTGTAAGAAAGAATTACAAATTAGCAGAGCCAGGATGTTGAAAACAGAGCAAATAAAGAAACAAGAAAAAGTTAGGCAAAAACAATTTGGAGCAAAAACATGAGATGATTTCACCAAAACACAGGAGGGAGGGGATGGACACAGAATGTGGAAGAATGCAACAAATATAAGTTCTTATCTTGAAAGGAAGGGTATACAATAAAAGCGATTACATGTTTGGACATTTGTGGAATAACAGGCACTCTCTTAGGTTGTTGGTGGGAATAAAAAATGGTACAAACCAATAAGAAGAATTTAGTTCTTATTGGTAATTTCCAACAATTGTATATATACTTATTCTTTGATTTAGCAATTCCACCACCATAAAATTATCCAAAAGATATATTTCAGTGTGAAGAGGCACATGCACAGAGTTACAGATTTTGATACATACAATAGCAAAATGTTAAAGTGACATAAATGTCTTTCAGGATTCAATCCAGGATACCACATTGCATTTAGACTTGGGATGTTTTAAATTACAATTCTACTTACTTAGCATATATTTTATGTTTCTTCTCAAGTCAATTTTGGTAATTTCTGGCTGTCAGGAAATTGGTCCATTTCATCTAAATCATGAAATTTACCCACACATGGTTGTTTTAATATTCCTTTATTATTCTTTTAATGTCTGTAAGATAGGTATTAATGCCCCTTCTTTCATTCTTGAAACTCACAGTTTGTGTGATCTCTCTTATTGTCATAATCAAGCTATCTAGAAATTTATAACTTTTACTGATTTTATTTCAACTAATTACCCTTTAGTTTTATTTACTTACTCTGTTTTTCTATTTTCTATTTCATTGATTTCTCTTCTACTCTTTCTTATTTCCTTAGTTCTTCCTCATATTTAGTTTTAGTTCAGTTTTCTTTTTTTAACTTCCTGTAGAAACACAATCCACAAAGAAGGACTTTTTTCTTTCCCAGTAAAAAGCATGACTATACCTCATGTGGTGGGGGGGGTGTTCCTCTTTCTCTCCCTCACTTCTTCTCTCTCTCTCTTTTTCTGTCTCTGGTGAGTGCGCATACCCTCTGACAATCAAAAAAATGTGAAATTTTATGGTTAGATCTTTGATCCATTATGAGTTGATTTTTGCTAATGGAGAGAAAAAGGGATCCAGTTTCATTTTTCTACAGGTAGATATCCAGTCTTCCCTTGCTGAAGAGAATTTTTTTCCTCCCATTGTCTTGTGTACTTTGTCATAATCAGTTTGCTGTATGTTTCCAGGTTTATTTCTGGATTCTCTATCAGTTGCATTAGCCTATTTGTGCCAGTACCATGCTGGTTTGATTACCACAACTTTGTAATATATTCTGAGGTAACAAAGTAAAATGACTTCCACTTTGTTTTATTATTATTATTTTTTTTCATGCAGTACTACTTTGGAAATATGGGACCTTTTATAATTCTAGACAAATGTTAATTTTTTTTTCTATTTCTGTGAAAAGTAGCATTGGGAACTTGATTGGAATTGTATTGACCTAGTAAATAAATTTGGGTAAAATTGACATTTTGATTATATTAATTCTTCCTCTGCAGGACCATGGGATGTCTTTTCACTTTTGTGTAAAGATCTAGCTATAAAACCTTAAGCTATGAAACTTCTGGTGCAAAACACAGGAGAAACCCTTGGAAACATCAGAGTAGGCAAAGACATCTTGATTAAATACACCTCTAAAGTACAGGCAATGATATCAAAAATAAACAACTGGGACTACATCAGGCTAAAAAGTGTCTGTACAGCAAAATAATAAAGAGACAACCCTCAGAATGGGAGAATATATTTGCAAACTATGTCTAAGATAAAGGACTGATAACCAGAATATACAAGAAACTCAAACAGCTTACCAGCAAACAAATAAGCAATCCAATTTAAAAATGGGCAAATGAGATGAACAGACAACAGTCCAAAGACATATGAATGGCTAAAAAGCATATGAAAAAAATGCTCAATATCTCTTACCATAAGGGGAATGCAAACCAAAATCACAATAGGATACTGCCTAACCCCAGTCAGAATGACTGATATTTAAAAAATACAGAACGATAGGGAACCCTCTTA